TGCAAATATTAAATATCCATTCATCTGCTGGTAGCAAGCTAACTAGCGCTTGCAACTCTATTCAATTTCTTACTTTTTCTTATAAACTTTAAAACCAGCCATATGTTAATTAAAATACATTTACCTTTGCTAATGCAGTCAATTATTGTGAAATCCATAGAGTATAATTTCATGATTGTTGCAATAACTAATGTGTCATGTGTGTTTCAGTCTTACAGGTGTCAGACTGTGTTGAAGGTGTTCAAAGGTAAGAATCACACTCTCACACATTGATTGTTCTTCTGTATTATGTTGTTTTGAGAATAAACCATTATTTGGTGTATTCTGTTTGAAAACATCTATCTTTTTCTCAGATTGTTCAGCAACTCACTCAAGATGAGGGAAAAGAGCAACAAGGGGAAGATGCCCCCTCGGAAATGCAACATATAGAGTAATACAGGGTATAGCTTTCAGGGCTCATTTGTCCATGTGCAAAACAAATGCACATTTGCAATTGTTTTTTACATGGAATTACTCCAATGACCAAAGCCTTATCCCAAGTTTCTCAGACGGAGTGTCTTCCAGTGTCTCGAGCGAGTGCAGTGCCAAGGTTTGTATCACATGGTGATGGATCGAGTGGTTTGAGGCATTAATAGAAAGTTATGTGTTGTTATATCACTTTGCCACATTATGTTGAAACTAAACATGTTCCACATTTTCAGGTGCTGTGCTTGGACCTTGTGATGAGAGACTGAAGACCAAGAGAGGACACATGTTGGAACACCTCAACATTCAATAAATGCATTCTTCTGCCTTTCAGATTGTGTTTTTACATCTGGGGAACCTAGAGTGTAGCTTGTGCCTGTTTTAATACTGATCCAAACATAGGCGCTACAATCATGTTTTTTTACTTTGGCATGAACTGTTCAGTACAGTAGTGTTCAGTACAGTAGTGTTCAGTACAGTAGTGTTCAGTACAGTAGTGTTCAGTACAGTAGTGTTCAGTACAGTGTGCCCTGTGTGCTTTAACTTGTACTTTGATGTAGAGAAACATGATTTTTAATGCAGCTCCATTTGCAATAATGACTGATATCCTTCTACTACAGTTGTTCTAATGATTTTTGAATGCTGTGTTTATCGTTTATTGCCCAGAGTCAGAACTAAACATGATATAGCTGCATTTCAGATTCACAAGGCTAAAATCTGGAACGGTCTTCCTGGAAATGTGAGACAGGCTTCTTCTTTGACAATGTTAAAATCCAGGTTTAAAACACTTCTGTTTCTGCTTCAACTGAGAGATTTTATGAGATTTTATTTGTATCTTTTTAATTTACTGTCAATATTTATAATTGTAATGCCTTGTTTGATTGTTTCTATCTTTTGTTCAGTGCTTTGAGTTTCCTTTTGTTTTGACTGTGCTATACAAATAAACTTGCCTTGCCTATTGCAAAAAGTATGTCTCGACCAGTGAGTGATTCTGCAGAGGTTAAGTAGGTCAATAGGACTGTAAATGGACGTCATATAAACGTCAATATTTTGGTCATATAAGACGTCGAGAGGACGTCGGACCCGACCGGTTCTGTACCACATTGCAACCTTGAATGAACGTCCAGATGACGTTGAAATGACATAGTTTTGACATCTGCTTGCTTTGTTGGAACAACGGAAAACGAACGTCATATGAAGGCAATATTTTGGTCATATGAGACGTTGATAGGACGTCGGACGCGACCGGTTCTGTACCACATTGCAACCTTGAATGAACGTCCAGATGACGTTGAAAATATGTTGTTTTGACATCTGCTTGCTTAGTGGGAACAACTGAAAACGAACGTCATATAAACGTCAATATTTTGGTCATATAAGACGTTGATAGGACGTCAGACCCGACCGGTTCCGTACCACATTCAAACCTTGAATTGACGTGCCATCAACGTAACATTTGGAGGTTGAGGTGACGTCGGGAAACGACGTCGAGAAAACTTTCATTCTGCACCCACCAGTGACCTATATTCTACGTCGGACAACAACGTTCAAATTACGTTGATTCAACGTCGGCTTGCTTAGTGGGATGGTCATGGTCTCGATCATCAAAAACAAAGAGAGGATTGACTATCACCTCCCGCAAGGTTAATATACATCAGAGAGGTGTGCAAAGACATGACAATGAAGCACATTTTAGCCGCCGCCTCTAGTTAACGCTAGCTAGCTAATCTGAAGTTTATGATAACATAACAAGTGCAGATGAAGGAGACTTGAGCTTGAAGTGTTGAAGTATATACGTTCCCGGTGAGCTATGTTGACAAAGTTTGCGTTGTCGCGGCACCTACAGCCATAGACTAAATATTAACAGATCTAGTCATGCCTAGCTCTGCCGTTGAAACTTATGTGCCACCACTTTTCCCTTCTATAGGGCTTTTTTCAAATGGCTGTGGGGCAGGAAAATGTGAATATTAGTCTATAGCTGCAGCTTACACCCCAAAAAAATCCAGTTTTAAAGTCATCTACTTTCATTGGGGGTGTGGAAAAGGCAATGTTGATATCAAACATTAACCAGCATTTTTCATTTATGACCAAATCATGCTCGGCCTCAACAATGGGAGCAAAAAGAGCTGATTCAGTGCAGCCCCTGGTGGGGTAATTGATAGGCTATGGTAAGTCCCGGGGGAAACGCTAGATCATGAGTTCTAACTCTGCCAGCGGGAACTTGGGCTGTCTGGGAGGGACTTCCACTGACAATGAAAGCAGGATTTGTATTAAAAATCACAGAGAATAAGAGCTAGATTGTATTTTTGTGAGGTTCTCAAAGAAAATGGTTTCTAAAATAATGACTACAAATGTTTGATTTTGACAGATTTTTTACACATAGGGTTGATTCATTCGTTTAATTTAAATCCCCTTTGTAAATCAATTTCTGGGTCGGAGCCTAGTGGGGGCTACCATACACAGATATGCACGATGATTCCAATGGAATACATAAGGGTTGAAAATATGAATATGTTCTACGAAAAAAATCAGTGCATCTGCAATTGAGATGCAATCTACTTTCCTTATCCAATCTCATTTAAATTATTAAAGTGCACATAAATGGCAAAAAATTTACAGATGACTCATCATCAGCTATTTAGTGAAATGATTGTTGCTGGTCTATTGTCAGTGTCTGTCATTGTCTTCGTCCGTGTCTGTATTCCTGGTTCCTGTATTCGATTTTTGAGTTTGGTTTTACCTAAATTCTCATTAAATCATATATTTTTTGCTTTCTTGCATTTTGGGTCCTTCCTTCCTCCATCTTGATGGAAACGCTCAAATGATTTTTACTACCGTCTGCTCTGTCTGTGCACAAACGACTTTTACCAAAGTAATCATAATTAGAATTATTGCCATTATCAAGCAGCCTGGACAAAAATGATATCACAATTTCCATTTTACGTTTAACTTTCCATGTTCCGTTGGTAAAGAATATTGGAGGCAAACCAAAAGAAGAAGAGGGTTACTCCACAGCCGTCTGGTGTAGTCTCCTGCTGATTAAATAGGTGCTCTCGCCTTAACCCCACATGGCTTTGATCAAAACCGTGGAACTTACAACCTGATCTAAATATGCACACATTAAAGTCAAAATCAGAAAAAAAGACTAAATTGCAAACAAACACAAATTGTAAAACAATGTAATAACAGAGATATTAATGTATTAATGTATATGGCCAGATGGTCCAGCTCTAATCACAGTTGTTCAAAAAGATTGGACATACGCATACACGACAAAAACACATACACAATGCCCTTTCATTTTTAAGTTCAACAACAACAGATGCTATAAAAACGCTACATTAAATGTTCACATGGGCAAGTACCATCCACAATAAAAAATGGCAGACAAACCAAAACTGCAGACTATAGCATCTGCTTCCTCCTGGTACCAAGCCACACATGTCACAAAAAGTTGAAATAATTAAACATGAATGTCAAATATGTCGAAAAGTTTTTTTTTCAGTTCTACTTACTTTGGACGGAGAACATGTTAAAATACATGTCTGACAGGGATTCTCTGGTAATAGATGAGACAAAAGTCACATCACTGCTGTGCCCTGTCACTTCATTAAGCCGTGCAACAACTGTTCCTACCACCCTCACATTCTCTCACTCCATCTGCATTATGCCAGAGTCTCTTCACCGCTGAGCCAAATATATTTTTTCGAGACGAGCTGAATCTTATGACCTGGAGATGAAGATGAAGGGATAGTGCTGCTTGCATTCTGACTAGTGTCCAAACAACACAATGGTGGTGGAAAGCCGGGAGGGTATTTTGTATATAGTAACGCCCAAGCAATCTGACATGGATCCAATGCGATTGTTCTGAACTTGACAGAGCCATCCTACCAGTTCTTGAATTAGAGACAACACACACATATGCACTGCCAAAGTAAGATTGTCTCAGGAAAGAAAGTGTCAAGCCTAGAATCACCCATAAAAAGTTGCTGGTATTGTTATCCATCAGTATGTTAGGTATAGCCTGGGTTGTGAATCACAAAAAACAAACCGGCCGGGACAAGGAGAAGGAAAGTAACTCTTGTAGTTTTCTTCACAAAAGCTTTGCTACTCTGCCTCTGTGGAGTATTGGCCTACTGGACTGTAAAAAGGCAAAAAAAAGCAAACCAAGCATAGCGTTTCTCATGGTTTGCCTGAGTTCAAGTTTGTGCACACAGAAAAACACTCATCTAAAACTACTTAATGGGTACACTCAAGGAATACAATGCAGCTACAATGCAAGGTTAGCTGTTTTTAAAGGCAACAGCTGCAGAAGGCCACAAAAGCATTTGTAGCCCTAATTGGCACACACATTTGAATTGTGAGAGTGTAAATATTGTGAGTAGAGCAAGTGAGAAAATAATTAAAATTTAACTGGAAAAATTCCCTTAATGTGTCACAAGATTAAACCGTTTTAGCATTTTTCTGAGTATGCAGGGGCTAAATGAAGCTGTGAAACTAATTAAAGGGATAGGGTCGCGCTGGAGCCGCCTTACCTTTGCTGTGTGAAGAGAAGCACAGGGAGAGCTGAGCAAATAGGTCAGGATTCTCAAACTTCTCTTCTTTGACTTTGATCCAGAAGCAATTCTCTGCCATTTCCTGAGGCACTATCTGCAATGACACAAGGATTCCATTATCACCACAATCAGAAAGCACCAATGCACCAAGCTGCCACTCAGAAAGTTCTCCTCACTCAAAATAGGCTTTGTAAGGGTTTTTGCTTTTTTATGTTTGGACATAAACATCCCCTATAGTGCAACCGCATACATTATGATATGTAATAGTGATCATTAAATTAAAACTGCAAGCAGTGATTGCAGTCCATTGTTGCATTTTAAAAGTAACACCAAATGTGTGATCCCACAGTGAAATGATCTCTGTTCTGACTTAGTTTGAAGGGTAAAAATAAAAATCGAGAATAATGTGAGATATTACATTATATAATGAGAGTTGTTTTTCAATATATTTCTTCACTCACTAGAGCTCGCAAAGTTTTATATAGTAATACCAGACACCACCGGGATGTATTCCCTCAGCTCAAGACTAATAATACATATAAGATTAATAAGAAATAATTATTGTACTATATATAGCAAGCGGTAGAATGTGAAATGTGTCATATTATTCATCTAAAACCTTTCATGTAGGTCTCCTGCTAAAATGGTTAATGTCCATCTCGTTTTTTGACTCATACGCGGTATTTGGGATTAGTTCATTTTCAACCTAACAGCAACACCCCGTTTCCTGTGATACTGTCCAATCCCTATTCAGTACGACATGAGTGATCATTGTAGACCACACACAGGCATTTGAGGCGAGTAAGCAGCTTGTACCCTCAGAAAACCTGTTCATTGCACACAGGACATGAGAGTGGGCCATGGGGGTCTTACAAGCTCCTGCTTTAATTTCCTTTGAGTAGCTCTGAGATAAGGCACACTGCCTTATCTCAGAGATAATTCCTAACTGGCATAGTGTACTTATGACAAGCTAAAACATAACCTATAGGTTATATATGTGTATCTTTTTTATGGCTGGTCACTAACAATTGAAAGTGTATTTATCCCAGCCTGTATTGATATAAAAGTATTTGTAGTGTATAAATGTCATAATAGGTCATAGAATTGAATAAACTTGAATGTTTTGACACTTCAATTAAATCATGTAAAAAATAAAAAATAAAGATATGTTTTTGTTCACATAGATTTCACTGAAAATATATATTATTATTTTTTTATGAAAAGATGAATGAATATTATGATAAAGAAGAACAGGCACAATGGATGATATGTGATATTGTGAAACAATGTGTAAACTTGTCTTTTCTATGGTTTTTGTAATGACTTCTCTCTTTGGACATGTACAGCGCTAACTGCTTCTGGCACAAGTCTGCTTCCATCTGCTGCACATGGAGTTGACAGAAGATGCACGTCTCACCTAATCGACATAAGAGACACACAATGTTTTTCCTCAGGTGGTTATGAATTTCATTTGCATCTCCAAATTACAAATCCTGGGAAGTCAAGGTTAATTCACCAGCACGTGAGCCTAATTATAGCTCCTCCAAGACAATGGGCACAATTTCTGCATGCAACAATTGTAAACATTGAATGGAGAAAACGTGGCCCTCCTGCTCTTTGTTATTAATAGGACAGTTATAAGGGCGACAGTAGCTCAGTTGGTAGAGCATTGGCCTTTAGGCCTGAAGGTTGTGGGTTCAATTCCCACCTTGACACCTTCTCCACCGACTGTCACTGACACCTGTGGACTCACCACCTGCAGAGGATCAGTGAGGGGCTGGTGCTATGTGACTTGGGTGGCATCTCTGACTGCCACCCCCCCGACCCAGACATGGATTAAGGGGTAGAAAATGGATGGATGGATGGAGGACAGTTATAAAGCATGGCTTTACACTTTTTTTCCTGCTAGTGGACACACAAATTTCTCCTATGGGGGATCAAAAAAAGTATCCATGTATCTACTCACCTGTACCAGTGTTGAAAAAAAAATAAAAAACACACTTTTGGGACATTTACTTGCCATTCAAAAATGTCTGACTTGTTTGATTGAGACAAAGTGTTGTGGTGTGTTTTATTGTTGCAAGGAACATACCACAAGAAGAAATGAATACATAGTCAGAAAACCCAAATGTAGGAATATGGGATCATTGCTCGGATAAACCCCTCAGGAGACATAATGGCCTTAAGAAAGTAGGAAACAGTCATAACACTAAGAAATCATTGTTGCATTGCCTAAATTGTGCAAATTCCAGGCTATTTGCAGAGTGAAAGGTTTAGGTTAAGAGTCATGGAGAGACAGTGTACAATACTGTCTGATGAGAGTTGCATATAGGATCATTAACCCCCTTATTGTTGCATCATACTGATGATGTTGTTCCATTAATAATTTAAGTATAAAGATGCAATATCAAGCAACAGCACTCGAAGCCCACCAAACATGCAAATGCAGGACTCAGATGAAGAGGAGTGTTTTTCACATTTATCAGTATTTAGTGGTTGCCACTGCTGCCACGCTCCATTAGTGTGAAGCTGAATTTGCCCTGATGTAGGTGTTGAAATTGTTCTTTACAGACTTTGGAAATACTCAAAAATACCCTACAGGACATGAGTAGGAGCAGAGCAAGTTATCATCATGAATGACCAATTCCAATACACTCTTCATGTACAAGAGGCTGCAGAATTTAGAACAAAAACACAAATGCTGTGTCTACTCTGAAGGAAAAAAAGATTAATTCACTCTCCAATGTGCATTGCCAGCCAACTATTATCATCACTATCATTAAACGTGGTGCTTCTTGGGCAATAAATACGGAGATTTGAAACCAATACTATTCATGTTTAAGTGCAGCTCACAAAACTACCATGAGAACTGCAAGTTCACTTAATTTTTGGCCCCAAATTGTATCAGTAATTTTTATCTGCAACAGTTTCCTCTATTGCGTAACATCAGTAAAATGTAGGAATCAATCGTTCATGTTAATTTCTTTTTAAATTGTGTGTTCATTTTAAACAATACATCTCCTTTTACAAACCTTTGTCCAATTGACTCTCTTCATTACACTTTCTGGCTTATACACCTTCTTGGGCTCCAGTCCATAAGGCAGTTTGATCACTGGCAGCGCAGGTGGAGGTGGAGGCCCACCAGGACCCCCAAAAAAGGGTGGGGGAGGTGGGGGTCCACAGCCAGGAGGTGGGGGAGGTGGTGGGGGTCCTCCTCCAGGTGGTGGAGGAGGTGGTGGAGGAGGGGGGATGCCTGCATGTCCTGGTGGAGGTGGAGGAGGAGGAGGGGGAGGAGGACAGCCACCAGGCAGAGGAGGGGGGGGAGGTGGGGGTGGAGGAGCACCACCTGGGACCAGAGGAGGTGGTGGAACTCCTCCAGCCGCCGGACCAGCTGCAACCTGTAATGACACAACAGATATATCATTGAATTACTGCCCATGAGCGATCAATCCAGAAAAGATAGATAATATAAGATCACAGAGTGGATTTAACAACCGCTGCTGCATAATGTGTGGTTGGTCAGCTTTGCTACAGATGCTGTGATCTCGTTGCTTCTCGTTGTTTCAGGAAACAATGACAATACATGTATGTAATGCTTGTATTAAATTGGTTTACCAAGTGTAAAATTTGTTTAAATAATTCAGTTTTTAAATTGGTGCATTTATTATAAACCTTGTATATTTACAAAGCATCTGTTTTAGTCGTGTATCTCAGGACGGCACAGGACTCATGAAAGTGAAAAAAAAAAATGAAAGCAACAATATATCAACACCATTACATGTTTTTTTTTATAAGTGCATATGCAAATGCAAAAAGTAGAAATCTATCTAAATATTCTGTATTTACAGCTCTAGCTGCACATGCACACTATCCCATTCAAATAAGGAGTAAATCAATTGCATTTAAGACATTAATACACATGTGAATTGATTAAGAAACAATTCTAAAAGGTACTCTCCTCACACAGATTGCTAAAAGCCCCTCAGAAAAGAGTCCAAATTCAATGATTATACATGTGCCAATTTTCTACTTTAAGATTAAAATGAAGAGAATTGAAGCATATTAGCAGGAAAATGAGAATGTGGTTGTTTTACATATTGAGTGAATCCTTTCTTCAGTCTCTTCTACATCTTGTCTCTGCTTTTACCAAAAAAGATGGAGACTACCAATGCCATTGTGCAATGAGAAGGTGAAGATCGTGGGTAATTACAATTTGCACCAAACATAACAGCATAACTGTTTTGGTCTCCTAGGAGAGGTTATCTATTTGTCTGAAAAACATTCCCATTGTGCCATTAAAAGTATGAATCTTACAAGTATTAAGTCCTCCTGGTCATGCTTGGTACCATGTGACACAGTAAGTTTATTTGCCACATCCTGCTAAGTATTTTAATAAAACCTAACAATGTTAACATCACAGCATGTTGGTGTGAGATAGATGTCACATTGAAGTTCAGAAATGGCTTAAAGGAGCAGTATGTAAAAAATCTGGCCAAAAGTGGTACTGCACTCTCCCTGACTCAGGTTGCCAGATATGCAGACAAATCCAGCTGGGACCATAATATCTGAATAAAGGGTTTTGTGAAAAAAACCTATAATCAACACATTTTTCTTCCTTGTTTTGTCATTAATGATTGAATGGGCCAGAGGACTTTGTTTGTGTAAATGTATTAAAATGTGTCTTTTCCTATTTTGTTTGACCTTAATACAGTTAAAGGAATAGTTCACCGTTTTTACATACTGACATATGTTCTTACCTTACCTTAGACTAGTTAATATGTACCTGTCTGGTCTTAGTCCGTGCGCTCTGTCATGCAAACAGAGCAAAAACGGGAGCACAAACGCAGCCTCCTCTGTATACTGCATAGTACCCAAAAGGTAGCTCCCGCTAGAAGCTACCAAACTCTTCCAAGTGTTCCCTATTAAATGTATATAGTTACGTGACGTGTTACACTGCAAAGTATAGTAACACAGAAATGTAACTGTCGATTTTCTCAGCGGATAAAACGGGTACTATAATCTGAGGAGCGCTACGTCCGCGCACTAACTTCTCTCCGGAGACTTCTCTCTCGCTCACTTCCGTCAATAGAAGCAGCGTGACTTGTAGTACGGAGAGAAGTTAGTGCGCGGACGTAGCGCTCCTCAGATTACTACGCCTCACAATATAGTACCCGTTTTATCCGCTGAGAAAATCGACAGTTACATTTCTGTGTTACTATACTTTGCAGTGTAACACGTCACGTAACTATATACATTTAATAGGGAACACTTGGAAGAGTTTGGTAGCTTCTAGCGGGAGCTACCTTTTGGGTACTATACAGTATACAGAGGAGGCTGCGTTTGTGCTCCCGTTTTTGCTCTGTTTGCATGACAGAGTGCACGGACTAAGACCAGACAGGTACATATTAACTAGTCTAAGGTAAGGTAAGAACATATGTCAGTATGTAAAAACGGTGAACTATTCCTTTAAGTGGGGAGGCAGGTTTACACTGGGGTAAAAGATGTGGACATTTTGTAGAGTTCCTTTGTATTTATCTGTGTTAAAAAAAAAACTATTCAATTTGTAATGGGTTAGCCCAGGGGCGGGGCTACCTGGTTAAAGGTAGCGGGTACCACTAAAAATATGTACAATAGGTCTGGCATGCGCCTCCTGTTCGGCGACCCCGCTCCCGTCTCTGTGTGGAGTGAGAGGACAAGTGCCCAAAAAATAACAATTGTAAACCGCTTTGTGACTCTGGTCTGTGAAAGGCGGTATATAAATAAAGCTTACTTACTTACTTACTTACTTAAAAGGAGTGTGCTCTCACTCATGGGAAGTCAGTCTGTGAGAGAGTGAGCTGGAACTGAACTGAACCGTATTGACTGTAAGTCCTGTTTTTTGTGTCTGTTTTTCGTGCACTGTACATACTTTTCCACTTTTTTTCTGTTTATATTCTGGGTGTGTAAATAAAAACACCAAAATATATTTTTTTCTTGACTGAGCCATAATTTTTTCCCATAATTTTTCAACAAACCCTCACATTTACATAATTGAACTCACAATTTGCAGATATCTTACTCAAAACTTCAAGCATGTCTTTAGTAACCAAAATCATATCATAAAACACTAATATTACCATACATCTGAAATAATGTCAGCCTTGTTCTGTCAGCTCCATGAAAGATAAAAAAGATATGATAATACACAACTATCTCTAAACTATACTGAATCCCGAAGTCTAGTGTGTGGGATTCAGTTGACTGACAGCAACTAAGCCAAGGCGATATGCAAAGAGAACACCCACCTTGGCTTCAGATTCCCAGATGAGTTTCAGAGCTTTATTGAGCTTGTCTCTCCCAATAGTTAACTGTACGACAGACAGTGGACACACAGCACCAGGCACACCAGACAGAGAGACACATGTGGGTGGGTTAGATAGACACACAAGACACTCCACGTAGTAAGGAAGCAAGACAGAGCAGATACACACAGAGAGGAAAGAGATGGTCCTTTGCTGAAGAGAGGACTAATTATGTCTGATTGAGGTATTTCATGTGCAAAGGCAGGATATGTTGTGCCATTGCACCTAAAAGAAGATGTAATAATGTCATCAAAAGAACATCAGTGGAGAACAGTGACTCCAGGATGAAAGGCGCAAGGCAATGACATACTCAGATGCATGCTCCCATTGTAACTTGGAAATATACACAAGCAGAACAAAAATCCAGCAAGGAATGGAGTCTTTGCTTAACATTCCTCCAACATGCAACAGAGAGATGCAACAAAATAAAATCAGAAAAAAAAGCAGTGAACTGGAAATACAATTAAACTGGTAACCATTAAAAGGGACATGACATGCAAAAAAAACCTTTTCGCTTTTGATAATGATATCTACGTTTTCCCTTTTATGCACTCAAAGTTGTTTTAAGAGAGATTCAAGCATAATAGCCTTGTTATAATTTTTTTGTGTGATTTTCTATCTTGAATACATCCTGATGGTTCACCAGTCATAATTGGTTGAAGGAAAAACATATCTATCTGTGCATTGCCACCACTGCTTGAAGGTGCAGAGTGTGATTCCAAATGGTGGGACCCAATCTTTTATCGCAAAATTTAAAATGTACTGATGACATAACAATGACCTACAGATGTAATGACATACAGTACAAGAGAGAGAAGCATTAATAAGCTGATTTAACTTAGTTGTCCAGAAATGTTCTGTGGGAGTCAAAAATTGTCTGTTTTCAAAATAAATATGTCTTTGTCCACAAAGTCCAAGTACATTAAATGGCTTCAGAAATGAACCAGCTTCAACTCATTCCAGAACCCAGTGGTATTCATCTGTCATTAATGTTTTAGGTCAACTCTATCATGAGTAAAAGAGGATGGTATGCTGGCAGAGAAGGAGAGAGACATGTAGCAGTAGACCCTGAGCTCCTCGCGGGGCTCAGCTGGGTCAGCTACGAGACGTCCAGGTTGTTAAAACCTATTAATGGGATAGTGCGCACTGCTCCTACGTACCTCCGCAGAGCTACATTATTCATCACATCCACAGCCACATGAATAGACTATTTTTGGCCTTGAAGGAATTTACTGAAAGGTTTTTGAAGAAGGCAGCTGATATCCACTTGTGATTTTGTCTTTGTGGATGTTTACACACAGGACCTCAAACCAACTCAATTGGAGGGTTAATCAAACAGCCACATTCAATAGGACTTCTTGTTACCATGCCAAAGCTCCTCTCATTAAATGTCGGTACGCAAACAAGGTAAAGAGCTGTGGATCCGATATGCATGTATCTTAAAATATCAGGAATGGAGTCTGAAAGTTCAAAGGTTACGGTTTACACATACGAGTTTTAGAATCACATGGCTGCAGCTTTGATGGACAAAGAGTCTGAAAATAGTAAACTCAAATCGTCTTTTATCTAAAGTAATGGTTTATTTACTGTTTTGACTCTAAAAAGGAGAATGTTTCATGTACGATGTTTCAAATCCCCACTACATAAAAGCAACTATTACAAAAATTTTAGCTTGAAGGCACCCTCCCAAAATATTGTATTTATCACAATTATATGTATTTATGTTTAATTTTGTATATTGATCGGCTTCCAGTAATACAAATAGCTACTAACCCATTTAGGAATCGCACTTGCCAAATCGGAAAATGTTCCAGGATTCTTTTGCTTGCCCTCAAAGTGCGTACATCGCCATATTCATCCATCTTTTTTACATGAGACACATAAAAGCTAAGGTTTGTCTCCTCTCTTTTTGAAGACACTTTCAGAAAGACTTCTTTCTCTGGAATCCGCTCTTAATGCACCGTCCGCTATGTTTGACTCAAAAGACTGAGCCCTGCCATGGGAATCTGAGGTAAGAGTGTGTTGTGGAGATGGGAACATTCCACAAATGCTGTATTGAGTAATCCTTGCAGGTAACAGGCTCTTGCATGCGATTGTATCCAACAGAGAAGAGCTTGAAGAGAAGAAGGCTGTGGTGGTCTTCTTTGAATGAATGGACACATTTATTTTGTGTGAGTATGTATTGTATGTTGTGAACCCGTTAAACTAGAAATGCGAGAGAAAAGTGGCAACATTGCGCTCTGGTATGTACGTTTTTAATCATGCTATATTTAATTGTTCTTTGGGTCAATTGCAATCCTGCTTTTATGGTTTGGGTTTCTGATATTGGGTTTTGTCTGTGTTTTTCTAAAGGTCTTTTACATGCTCTGCATCTGCTTCTGCTTCTGCTACTTGCTGCTTATGCTTGTACTGATGCATGCTACGGCTGTTCACAAAATAAACTTCAAAGTAAAAGAAGATCATTTAATAATGGACTGCGTGAATTCCATTGCCTCAAGTTGCAGGTACAACCCCCTTTCAGCTCGCCAAAAGGGGGTTATGAGCCAAAATGCTCATATTTTAGAATCTGTTTAACACTAGACTTTAATGAAAGGACGCTGCCCACACATAAGAATACTTGTTGTAGCCTTGTTTTTTTTTCCACTGATGCTTTGACAAAGATGCAGGTGCATTTCATCAAATAGTGGGCGGCAAAATAAAGTAAGTAGAAAATGTAAAAGCACTCTAGGATATAAATGTAGCTAAACCATCATTCAATGCTGATTTAAATAAAATTACACGAGCAGAAAGACAGGTTGCCCTTTTTGTCCCAAGACAGTACTAAAGTGTTTGAAATTGGGTTAAGGGGGAAATAGCAGTCTTTTTCCATTTCCTTAAAAAGGAGAGCGTTTGCCTGAAAGAAATAATTTGAAGGCCTGAAAAAGGAGAAGCCATCCATCTTTGTGATGATAGAATTACACAGGAAAGGTTTCAATAGAGCAAATCCCCCATATAAAGAGATACACCGCGAGAGGGAGATTGACCCTTTATTGAATCAAATATTGCTGCATAGATGATAACTCCCACTTACTGAAGTAGTGCATCTCTAAGTGCAATGGAAGGCTATCATCCTGACCAAATCAACATGTTTTTTTCTATTGCAGACTTTTTTTCTTTCAGTTGCCCTGATGCTGAAAACTTTCATCACATTTACAGGTACAGGACATTTGAGAGCAGCTTTCACACCTTCCAATAAAAGCTACAATTGTGTGGAGCGTGTGTGAAGTGCAAGAATTTTCAGACACTTCTTTTTTATGGATTTACCTGAGACTCCAGGGTTTGGATCTTTCCTTCCAACTCTTTGATTTTCTCTTCCTTCTTTTGACAATCGGCCTGAGCCTCCTGCCGTGCACTGAACTCCTCATCAAACTGCAAGAAAAAAGATGAAGATTAAATGTGTATATAAGTCTGCAGTAAGTGGAATACACAATAAAACTGATACATTAAATGAGGCGTGGCATTGTGTTCGTGGAAATACAAACAACCTTTTTGAGCTGTCTCTGGCCCTGTATACCCCTAAGAAATACTTTGGTTTGTTTTAGCCCTGCTTTCCATGGTGATAGATCTAACCTTTGCTTAGATCAAAAGATGTCACCTCAATGACATCACAGTCTCAGCATGACATCCTGGACACTAGGAGCTCCGAAGAGAGAATGAGCCAGAGGCAGAGAAGAGTTACACAAGTGTTTTTGTGTATGTGAGTGTAGAAATGTCACAATTTGCATACTATAGCATTTTGAATCCTACATTTCATGAGCAGCAGTTCATCCAATTCTAATTCACAATTATTCATAATTATAGGAAACTTTCAAGTAGAAAAAAGTTCATGTTGATGAAGTGGAAGAACATTACATGAAATAGTATTAATAAAATGTGTTAACTCTTTCGGCAATTAATTAGAATTATATGTGATACTAAATAATTTATTTGCTGCTATATTCCAACACAAAGGTGGGGATGAGACCCACCAAGGGTCACATCATCATGTTTGAATAAAAATGAATAATCATTATATTGTATTAAGTCAATTCTTTGATTAACTAGAACTCCACCAACACCACACGGATCATCTCAAAATGTTAATGAAGTCCTCCTACCCAGCTATGCACCAAATTTCAGCAAAAACAAACAGACAGTCTGCATCAGCAGTCTGCTATTTCCAAGAGAAATGTCCAATTAGCCTGAAATCTGTGGCGCTTCATGCAGGACACTGCAATCAGTTTTCCAACAGCCAGACATCATGACATTTCATTGAAAAGCAATTTTTCCCCTATTGAGGCTCAACATTTAAATCAAGCTTATGCTAAAAGCCATGCACTCCAAAAAATGTCTTGGGCAGGCATTCTATCATTTCATATTACAGAACATTGTTGTTTCTAGATTTGAATTTTGTTTTTAATTGGAATACTGAGCTGAACTGTAAATAAGTTACATACTATTCCATTGAGCAATGGAAAACCCTTTGGAGTTTAATACAGACACCAAGAAAGCTTAGAACTTTCCTGCCTTCTCAAAATATCTTGAAACAACAGTGGAAAGCTGGGCTGGAAACACCTACACATAACGTTGCTGTATACATCAGAACAGTGGCATTGATCCTTGTAGTGTTGATACGGATCATGTAGCGTCACAGCCAGATATTGATCAGGGCATTGGACGATCGATAGTAAGTCTGAGATCTTAGAGGCTGGGGGAAAAAAAACTTCCTGATTGGGCGTGAGGGGTGCTGTTGGAAGTGATTAATGTTGTACCTTTTTTGAGTACTCGTCAGCTTTCTGCTCGCTCTCTTCTACCCGGGCTTTATCCACGCACTGATCTGAAATACAAGGAAAGCCAGACATAAGCGTTTGAATTGAATATATTTACAAAACTCACACAAGTGACTGTGTCTTGCTCAATGATGCATGCAGACACCAGCAACAATATTGACATATACCTTGCTTAGTGGATGCTGGTGATCATACATACGTAAGTAGGCATGACTATGAAAAAAGATGGCTCCTTGCGTGTGCCATGGATACAAAGCCATAAAATCAATACCTAATAGAAAATGTATGATTGTTTCTTGAGCACGAAGCAAAAAATTGTAGCTGAATCGATGCATGGCACCAATAAAGTGTTTTGATGAGAAAATCTGATGTAGGGCTGTGAAGGGTATTTAATTGAATATTTGCACACATTAGCTCATGTGTAACAAAGGCAGTTTAATCCTTTTGAGTCCAGTCAGAATAGACATCTGCCAGATTCATTATAATTCACCTGAACATCAAAAGAAGACATCAAGTATATGCAGCAAACAGAATCTTGGCCCGTTATGAATATCAGATGTGGTAATAAGCAACTCAAAGTCTGGTAATTTGTCAGACCAAAAACTCAAAATCTCCAAATCTCACTTTATTTTCACAGATTGAAATTTTAGCAAGACACAAACTTCTTCCTCTATGAAGACATTTGGAAACTTTTAATGACCCTTTGTTGGTAACAGTCACCAGCACAAACTTGCACATAGTTTAGGGTTTTTCTGTTTGAAAAGAAAAGACATAAACCAATGTGGCGTTCAGAGATGCCAACTCCACTGTGTCTTTTCCTTTTAATTTTTATTTTCAGGAAGACAAAGCAAAAGTTTTAGTGTCAAATTATAGATTCTAATATATCAAAAGAAATCTTCTCACTACAGGTGTTAGCCAATAAAATCTTGAGAGAGTGTGGGAGGATAATGAAAGCCTGCAGTGTGAAGCATCAAAAAGCAAATGCATTATCATGTAAAAAATATATAAAAAATGAACATAACAACCTATAATGGTAATTGCAGGTGTATTTTGGGCTTACCGATCAAATGAGTGAAGTCAACATCTAGCCGTTTGCTGTAGCCAAAATCAGGATCCATCCCACTCCGATGTAAGACTACCTGAGATACGCATTCTTCAATAACCTTGTAATATTGAGGCCTGCAAGGGTAAAATAAAAATAAAAAAATAACAATTAGACAAGCCTTGGGAGTGTATGATGGACACAAAATTTACCAGGCTAATTAAGCAGAAATTATACTCTTATTAGAGTTAGAGGTCACAAAATGCCATGTCAGAAAGGGCCTATCACATTTCATCGCTTCCTTTGCCCACAATCGTGAAATGAGCAGATTAATAGGCAGTGGGTAACGCAGAGTCTGTGTTGTCCATTTTAAGATGACGGACTGCAGCCAATGTTTCGGTGAACACACTCTTTATCGTAATTTACGTAAAAAAAAAAAAAAAAAAAAGGAAATCTAATCAGGGTAATGTGTGTAATTGAAAGCACAATGACTGGAAAAACATGTCATCCAGTTAAACGGTGTGATGGAGCAAGACTTACATATTAGACAGGGAGTCTTACCTCTGCGCCCAGGTTTGTGTCTGACCTTTACGGTGTAGCATTATCAACTTTAATTGTAAGTGACATTTAGCTAATACAATGCCACCTTACGCAAAGATGCCAAGGAAGGAAATGGGCATCATCACACTGACCACAAGTTAGACTCCTATTATAGCGATATATATCCCAATTTCAACATTGTGAAGTATGATTCATAATAATTGACTACATAATGATAATTCAAAATTATTTGACTTGCAAATATTTGCAACAATAATGAATTATGAAATTACATTTCAAGCAAAGATTTAATACAATGAGAAGACCGTACAAGTAGGGCGATTTCAGCAGGTTGAATGAAATTAACAACTGTTTGAAATTGCTCAAATTGAAAAAAAAAGGAGAATAAGAAGAAACACGTGGTAAATTAATTATGCTTTAAAAGGCCAGAAAGGAGGTGGAGAGGAGAGTGAAAGAGTATGTTATGGTCATAGTAATAACAATGGTTAAGGAAAAGTCACGTAACAATCATTGCCATTACAACCAAGAACAATCTCTGTGAGAAAGCACTACTTCTGGGCCACACCGCTCGAATCTGCAAAAATATTTGTAGTATGCAGCCAGCTTAGCGTATAAAGTTTTACAGCGTCTATTTTTCTTCAACCAGTTTCTATTCACCGGTATGCCTTGTGGGTGGACAGACCGCACTATGTTGTAAGCAGGAATATGAAAGACAAACATTTTTCAAGCCAAAGCAAATAAAATCATCTAGGTGTTTGTGAAAGCATCAAATGGTGTACATTAAGCTGTAGCTGGGTTCGCCCACTCCTGGTTTGGAACGAGGGGGTGAAATCACACACAGCGCCCTGCCACACTTAAGCGTCGTGCCACTCGGCTTACAACTGTCACCAATGTACACTGCATTATTATCTCAATAAGCCGCCCTATTTTTCCCTGCGTCCTCCACCATCGCAGAGCCAGATAGAGGCTGGGTGGAGATAACTTGCACTGGAGAGAGTGACCCAGAACTGTCAGCCGGCTCCTCCACGGTGGGCAGGGCTGGGCTGCAGAAGCAAACATATGTCCCCCTGCATCATTCCGCTACATTTTTTTTTTTTTCTTTGGCGTCTCTGCCCTGTTATAGCTTGTAGTTCAGTGCAGCAAACCCAGTCACTTGATCCAGCTCTGCTCCACATAGCCAGTGTAATCCCCATATCGCCAGGCGCCAAAAGAGCAGATCTGCGCTATATTTACTGGGTGGGTTTGATGTGCTCCCATTCATTAGGCTTGCAGAGGGAGATTAATTATCAAAAATAAACCGAGCCCTGGAGGGAGGGGAAACCAGAGCAAATGTTGTACGGGAGAAATGACACTTTAGGAGCTAAAGCAGTTTGTTTACTGTAAAGTGCCACATTGTGCAAACAGCATTATATTATTTGTCTGGTTTATTTGACATAAGGTGATTATTTAAGGTGATCAAAATCCAAAAATAAATCTCAGGTTCTTAAGGTGGAACAAGCTTAGCATACAAACCCCCGGCATTCTTTGATCACCAAATAAGCTGTCGAGTCTACATATATACAAAATGACATACCACTCCTTCAACCTGTCTGCAAATGCTATCGTCAAAAACACACTTTTCACATTGCACAACTGCCAACCTTATCCTTTATTGGATATGCAACAAGAAAAAGAGCATGGAATAAACATGGCCTTTGAAAGCACTACCACTTTGCGTCTAATTGGCGAAACATAGGAAGACAATTTTCTGTGCTAAATGTGGTGGTCTAAACAAGAATGTATTTCACAACTAGATATGGAAAATTTGGTGATTTTTATTTGCTGTTGTTTATGTTCTTTTCCTCGATACTGATGAAGTTTATCAATGAATTGCAAAATGGCTATACCAGCAGGAGGATCAGTGAGCAGCCAGGGAATTGGGTGTCAGCTGTGAAAATTGGTGGATGATTGTTTTTAAACTAATAAAGCTGTACCCACCGCATAATTAAATGATTATACGATGATGATGAACGATTACAAGTATATATTTATTTAAGTCTTCATAAAGATGTTTTTGAATGGCATCATTTAAGCAGTTTTTTTCTAAATTAATTGGAATTTTGTGGTCTACACAAAGCAAGCAATATAATTCAAGATAATTATTACTTGATTCTAGGTGCAATATGCAACTATTTTTTGTGAAAAATATCAACATTACATTATCGCATAGTGTCATGGTGCCTCCACTTAAAATGGCATTATGTCTTTCTGTAGTAGACACCAACCAAAACTACTGTTTGTTGCAGGGATGCGAATGGGACATTTCAAAAAAGTCTGAAATGCAGGATGTCATTAAATCTGTTTGATTTGCTCACAACATTTTACTTTTGGGCACAACCAACATGAACTGGTAAGGAAGGGAAGTTTAGTTGTGCTTCAGGAGGAGACACGGACACTTCCTGAGACTCCATAGTCCAGCTTCAGCGGTGCATTTATTGCATGCACAGGTTATGCAATGACACGCACACAAAAAACAGAATAGTTCTGTGACGCGTCTGGTCTTGGATATGATCACATTACAGCAGCGCCGTTCGCTGTGTTGTTGTCAAAGCCACTCACAGCCGCTGGAGGTGGGAACCCCTGTCCAAAGTTCTGACCCGGGACAGCTGCGGCCACGGAGAATGCAGACTCCTGTTTGAGTTCATAGCAAACAACAGCAAGTGCTCCGCGGTAATGCGCGTGTTCTTTTTAAACCTGAATTCCCAGAGGGCCTACCTGCTCTGTCGCCATCTCACACATGCATGTGTCCGCGGCATTCTGAGTGTTATTATGGGATGCATGGGCGGATCATTTGGTACATGTGTCTAATGTGTTACATTTTCTAACGTAATAAAACGTTAATGCGACAATTTTTAGGACATTGGTTTAGTGTGAGAACCAATGTCCAGGACGAAACATCCAAACTCCATAACTACATGACAGAGAAGGCTCAAACGGATGAATGTCTCAGACAGTAGCGAGATGAGGACGGGCCCAACATGGGAAGACAAAACCCTATGTGGCATGTACCACTGGAGCATGCCATTTTCACAGAGCGACCAAGCAGTGAGGTGTGGAAAATAAAGAGTTCCACTTAGACACTCAACAGCCCTTCTGGGGTTAATGTTTGGGTGTGCATATGCTCTGTGAATTTGTGACGGTGGCAAAAAAAATTATTTCAAAAACATATTTTTTTAAAAAGCCAATTTTTTTTATGAGGCCTGATCCCTAATATTGCAGACTTACAGCGGGGTACATGGACAGCGAATAGGGGTGGATGTGCCTGTAGTGGCTGGTTAATGTGAATTCTATTTCTCACTTCCCCCGAATAGATGAGGAATACATTATTCATAACTCCAAGGGTACAGCAACTTGTCTATGGTAAATTCATCTTCCCGCTCTCATCCTCCCCCCGTCTTCGAACTTTCTTTTTATGTCTTATTTCTGCAAAAAACGCCTGACACAGCAGTAGATTCATCAGTGTCACTCCTTTTACAGAAGTGGCTGCATTTCTGCCCAGTGACTGACAGATTTGCTCTTCAGACGTGAAGTAAAAAGGCTGCCCTATCCTTTCCCTAATTGCTCATTACAGAAACATAGTGGACATATTTACTGTATGCTGCCCACACCTATCCACTTTGAGTTTACTTTTTTCAAACTTTCCTTGAGTGCCTTTTTTATTATCTACACTCAGAAACAGAACCATTAAACAATACCTCACAGTTGGATCAAAGGTTATATGTGAAGAGTTATATTACAAAAATCTCCCTTTTGAAAATGTGTCAAAAATGTGTGTTCCTCTAGTTACAATATTCAACAGGTGTCGTAATAGGCAGCATATTTGATTTATTGTAAAATATTTAAGAAGGGATGGAACACTTTTTGTAACAAAAAAAATCTGCACGGAAATAAATCTGGATTTTCAAAAAACTTGGTAAAAGGAAAATTGACTTTATTTATATTATATATATATATATTGAAGCAAACTAATCATACGCAGAAGTGAACAAAGAACATAACATGCACGTAATGTTTGAATTGAAAAATAAATGATATAATTTTTTTTTCCCCTATAATGCAATTATGTATAATTTTATGTATCAATTTTATGTATAATGCCATAAAATTGATACTGAGGTATTTGCTGTTTAAGGCAAGCTCAAAATAGTTGGCTGGAATCAAGCCCATCACTCCTGACATAACTGCTTGGAAGAGCAATTTCCACCCAAGCTTGCATCATGAAACATCTTTGCTGATGTCTTGAGAGGTTGCTTCATTGTTTCCACATAATGTTCCAAAAAATTATCTGATTTAACTTCAGAAAGTGAGGGAAAAAGCAGTATGGGTCTTTCTACAGAGTTTGTAAACTTCCAGTTTCCATTGTAGCTGGCATTGACTAAAGCTGCCAGATAAGGCCACCACCTTTACCTGTTTCAGTGTGTTCCATTTGGGATTATATCTTATCTAAAAACTTTGCTTGAAAAAAAAAAAAAAAACAGGGAACAGAACACATGTCATGGTGCTGCACTTTACCTGATGTAGTAGTCATTTCTGATGAGTAGCAGGTGCTGAAGAATGGATAGGAAGTACGTGTCTGAGGCCGTATCTTTCACCATATTGGACAAGAGATGATACACTTCGTCCATATCAGTAAAGAAGAATTAAGGAAGAAAAAAAATCGAGAAGCCTATGAAAATAGAATACAATACTCACATTAAGACATTTGTATCTTCATTAGTCGGTGCTTTGAAACTAGTTCATTTCCCCAGTCCCAAACGCTTTTTATTCTGACAGCCATCAGCATACAAAGCAAACAAGCGATGTGACTTGTCTTATCCATTTTCTCCAGGGGAACATACTGCACAGTAAACACCTCACAAGAGGAGGTGTATTGGCAATAAAGCACAGTCCCTGCGGTTTACCTGTCAGTCAGCGCCTTTCCAGATAGAGCAAATTAATTACATGAGTAGCTCAGTAGTTTGAAGATTGGGGACAAGACTACAAAAGAAAGAATAATAAATGTGACTAGAAAGAATGTATATATCACAATGATAATGTGCTTTTGTTCCCAGGGTTCAACTTAAACATAACACAACTCTGTATATGCTAGATCCATCTCTATCAGTGAGCACTTTGGCACATCAGGATGCTGATTAGACATCATGAATATTGCACAGGTGTGCCTTAGGCTGTCACCAATAGAAGGCCACTTTAAAATGTCCAGTTATTGCTTTTTGGGGGGGTCAAAGAACATTATCCTCACTCAGTTTAACACATTTCCTCCAAAGAGTTGATTGCATTTTTCTCACATAGTTTTTAGTTTTTATTGCAATAGGGTGAAATTAAGACAATTTTGTGACAGATCAACACAAAGTGGAAAATAATTGGGAAAAATGTAAGAATGTGAAGATTTGAAATTCCTGAAAGTACAAATCTCATAGACCTACATCTGTAGTTGAGCAAAGAGTATTGAGGGCTGACGCCTAAATCCACCCTAATCACAAAAACTTAAAAAACCTGAAGGAAGTTGTATATCATGTTATTATACTTCACACTCTGTCACTTGGTCTTTCACATAAAAACATTTCATGGGGCATGATCATATATATATATATATATATATATATATATATATATATAATGTTGCGGCCATAAACTGTTTGTGGAAATCCAGTGAGAGATAAACAATCTTTAAGATGTAATGTAGTTGTGTGTAAGTAAATGCTGCACATAGTATTGCATTGTATCAGCAACACCACTTAAAGAGAAAGAAAAGAGGTTAATTAAAAAGCTGTGAAAGCATACTACATATGTTTTATAACATAATATTTTCTGATTACATTTTGTGTTCTAATGTAGTTTTCCCATGACTGAAAGTCTGTGTAACAATTACTTTACTTTCCTGGATAAAAGAACCCTTTTCCTATCTCCATTCCACTTCTTTCATACCCCTCGTCCACTCAAAACAATCTGCAGCGGCTGCAATTTGAGCCGATCAATTCTTTTAAATACTGTTTGACACTTTTCCTATTAATTCTAACAATGTCTGTAATTAAACTCCTATCCCATATCAAATTTCGAGAGCTGAGCGAGGGCTGGGGAATACATGCTTTCTCTAACGTATCATTTCCCTCCCCTGTATTAGCCGAGTGTGAAGCCTGTGAGAATAACCAATCCTACGAGATTCAATTATAGCCTCACCACAGAAGCATTTGAGAGGACATGAGAAGGCGCTCAGACTGGGAAAGTGTCCAACGAGCTCCATCTATCACTAAGCTGCAGACGTGGACCTAATGTGGAATGCCAATCCGTACGATGACATCCCGTTCCTCTTTCTCCCTCGGTTGTCTCGCCTTTTCTCTCTCTCCAAATAATGAATAAACATGAGTGGCAGTGGAGTATGATGTAGGCCAGACAGTGGTGGGCTCAATCAATCACCATTCCACAGTCCATTAATATGTATTAGTGGCCTGGAGTCGCCTCCCCAGCACATGGGCTGAGACTGGACACAGAGGAGAAGTGCAACTCTTGGTTAATATTCATGAACTTACCTGGAAACAAATGGAAGCTCAGGTATTTTGGTGGCATAGGATGATACACACAACGTTCCTTATTTATGAACCTTGCACGTGTATGTGGTGTGCACCAAAAACGCTGCAGCCTCTGTGATTTATCAACATTTGTGTTATGTTGTTATTTGTTTGTTTATTTGGATGGGACAGTGTGTTTTAATGAATAGCAGTAGCAGTAAATACAGCAGATTGTAGCTATGTAGCTCAGTTCCATTTGTAGTCCCACAATCGCACACACAACCCTCACCTTTTTTATGTTTTTAATTAGTATAGCTATTGTCCACTTATCTTGTGATGTGTGCTACCCATTCCTACTGTTCTGTAACTTGTGATGCAACACTGAAATTTCCCCACTGTGGGACGAATCAAAGATCTCTTTGTCTTAACCTATCAAGGGAATAGATACGCTGCCCAGCGGGGGGCTGTTTCACAACTGTGTGAAATTAGTTTTGGATGTGAAGAAAGAAAAGACTGCTTGAACTGCAAAATGTTTAAAGTAGCATTTAAAAAAAAAAAATCCAGGCTCTTTATTGGTACCTATCTCCAAGCAGATGATATTAAGTTCAAGATCAGTAAAGACCTTTACTGGGGAATAAATAAGTGAAGTTCTTTGAAAGAAACTTTGATCAGCCTTCTACTATATGTACAGACATCCTCAAAAAATATGAATTCCCGTAAAAAATGCAATATTTATACACACACGCACACGCACTGATAACCTCTTCTTTCACTTGCATATGTCAACACAAACCGTCACTCATAGCATGAATTTTGCTTAAGAACCGTGGGATGTGACAGAAAGGGGAAAAGTAAAAGACTTGTGGGAAAAGAACATCTGCATAACAATGTGTGCCTGTGGTAGGACGGCTACCAGTGTCAGCCGATCGCACATGGCCCCAGGAGAAGAATTGTGAATTATTAAACGTCCTCAACTCCAGGATGCTCCACAAAGTTCCCCTCAACTTTGGACTCAATTACTTTGAACCTTATTAAATACGACTCTGCAAATTTGGTGCTGAATGGACAGGGGGCTGGAAGAGCATTCAACCTGTCTGAAGGAATAGCAAGTAACACTGTGAGTCCTAATAGTTCATTAGCACAGGCCGTATAACATAAAAATGACTGCGTATAAATTGATTTAATAGGCGGCTGTTCGTTTCGCTGGAAGCAAAGAACTGCGGTAGAGCTGTGTGAGCAGACTATATTTTGTTATTGTCTTTTAACTCACAATTGCTGTCTTCAAAAAATATGGTATGAATGAATTATGGTAAACAATGCATCTCATAAATATTTTCTGATAGGGTATACTGTATGACAAATGAAAACACATATCATGCTATGCTCGTTTTCAAAAATGTCTTTGGTATAACCTAATGCGTCTCATGGGAACCATATAACCCATACCACCTAGTTTGTACATTTCCAGATTTTGCACCCAACCAGAAATGCACTTAAAATAACTGATAAGAACTTTTTGAATGCCGCTGTACTTGCATAGAAGTAAGGCATAAGTCTCTTGTGAAGCAATGGGTATGTGGGAGCTTATGATGACTACATATTTACCTGTACAGACCTGGTCAGAGATGAGGTTCAATAATGTGCTCTGAGACTTCAAATCCTCCACTAATGAACCAAGTGATGAGGGGCTTACATAGCAAAGCCTTAGCCAAACTCACAATATATACACTCATCCATAGTCAAAGGCTCGAGCCGCATTCATTCCCTGAGAGGACAAAAGGATATTCCATCTCTGCGCGGATGTCATCGAGCCGATGAGAAAGCTCAATAGAGTCCTCCTCCTTGTTTTCATTGAAAACCTTCAGTTGAATGTCCAGTTCCTCTGTTTCTTTCAGCTCCTGTAGAAAATGGACAATTTCCAGTGATTTAGAAAGACGAAAACAAGTTTTGCTTGTACAATTTCACAATTCCATTGACCTTGAGGGAACTTCATAAAATTACATAAAAACAGGAACAAATATTTACTAATTTAACACTCTGAGATTAATGGACGAGTTTGAATTCTGAACTCACGCATGATAAATGTACTGTATATATAATTAAAACATTTGACAGTGATTTAATACGTATTTACCTGCTCTATTTCTCTGTTATTACTAGTTTCTCAATAATGTTTTATTTGCTTCAGCCGTGAACAGGGACAACAACCCCAGACACCAATTTTGCTCTTCTATAAATGAACCAAAAAAGATATAGGCACATTTTGACCTTTCTCTGTAGAGAGATGGTTGCCACTTAAATCAGAGGCCAATACTACAGGGCCTCAGGTTCACAAAGGGCCAATATGTTATACAATTTTTTTTGAGGTTTTAGTAGAGAAAATAGTTTGCAAGCAAATATTCATTTATAATAGTCCTTTTGTATTATCTCAAACCATAAGCCCTATACAAACATGAACAGTGTGTTTTCCCTGGAGTTTAACCATGTAGAATCTGGACACAGTCACACCATTGGGTTTTGTCTGACCCAACGGTGATCCTTCCAAAGCCCTTGGAATGTCAATTGAGTGTGTTGCGTAAAAGCTGAACATGCCTTCTATAATTTCACTTAAACTCTTTATGTGAGGTGTGCATTATATAGTAAACATCACTGGATGAATTGATTATGTTTCTGTTTGCTTAGAGTTTTTGTCCTGATACTCATCCCCACTCTCCACATCCTCAGCCAAAATTTATGTAGACTTTACTGGTATGTATGGTACAAAACAGATGATTCTGAGACTGTAATTGTTGTCCTCTTTTCTGGTCATGCGTCAACTGATAAGAGCAGAATATTTGTATTTGCCTTTTACAGCTGTCCTGAAACTGCAATGCGAGACACAGTGACCCCTCTCAGCAGTCATCCCAGACAGTAACAATTTCTGCACACCTGTTCCGCCACAAGGGGCTCCAGCAGTGCTCTTTACCAGGGCTGGATGAATCACCAGCGGTGCAGTTTACAGATGGTGAAAGGGCCAAATGTAACCCAATTTCTGCAGGTATCAATCACCCTTGCCGTTTTGTTGGTTGTGCCATCTGTCTTAAGTAACCCGGCCTGAAAGGGAGTTTTCTCTACACCACAACATAAGGATAAAGGCCGCCAATCCAAGCATAGCAAGCCAATTGTACCACCCAAAGTTCACCTTATAACTATGCAAGACTTGTACTGTATATTCAAGCAGGGATAAATTAGGATAATTAAAGTGTTGGTAATAATCAACTTGAGCAGATGGTAAAACGTAATAACAAGAGGCTTGGTGACACATTCACCCCTTTTGCCATAAATGAGGGACTGAGTGATGAGACGGAGCTCTGCATGTGTGAAAGTGTCACTGCGTTGCTAATGATCCCACAAGAAACTGTGCAGCAGTGACATAAAACACCTGCACATCTGACTTGACTACTTGGCAAGTGAATTATTCAACTGGTATTCAACTGTTATTCCTCAAGGAGACCCAAAGAAAGAAGACGTCAGCCGGTGACAGACGCCTGTTTGTTTGTGGTTACCTTGTCACGACAGGAGTAAATCGATACTAGTATTCACTCGTCATCTTATCAGGGATGTTCAAAATATTAAGACAGGTTCATTGTCAAGTCAGTGACCCGAAAATGAAAAAGATTGCAACTATAGTTAGCTATGTTGAATTAAACAATCATCATTACCTCCACCAGCTGTTTGCAGTTTGTTAGTATACTGTTAACACCATAACTCAACAGATTACAGACAGTAAATGGGACAAGGAACCAACAAACCTACTTGCTCAGTAATCTAATTTTAAGTGCTGTAGGTGTTTGTAACCACTGTGTAATGCATTATTATGAATACGAATAACTGTAATCATAATAATGCAACATATGATACGTCATAACTTGTGTTTGGTCAAATCAAAACTTACAGGAAGGATTTTCTTGAGGCCACATCTCAGGAACTCATTGCGTAAATGTATCCGGAAATCAAGGTCATCGGGAGAAGTAACCAGAGCATTGATCAACTGCATACAGGCGACCTGTGGAATCAAAAGAGGACAAGAGAAGACTTGAGTGGTTAGAAAATCATCACAACATTGGGAGTTTGGAAAATACATGTTGTCAATTATACATTATACAATCAATGGTAAAGACAAAAGCAGTTAAAATTGATTAGGAATACAACAATAAAATGCTTGTGGAGTATTATAGGATTAACAGCTTAAATGTGTGGTTGTGTGTGCACCAGTAGAGATAATCGCTGATAAATTATAATGAGGTGTAAGGTGTTTCTAGGGAACAGAGTGTGGATGAGACACTTTTCCTTTGGCAGTAAATCAATCACAGCCTTAGGGAATCCCACAAAACATCCAAAAACCTTGACCCTTAGCTATTGGTTCGAGTTTTTGTTATTTATAAGACTTACAACAATCCTCTTACTGTTTACACAGTAGCTTCTTAATATAGTAATGTAACATAATGTAAAGTGTAATATATATATTACACTTTAGTTTATGGAGAAGTACTTACTCAAAAACAGTGGCTTAAGTGTTTATTTTAATCAATCTTTCTCTCAAAATGTGAAAAGTTAAGAATTGATCAAATATGCCTTTGTGAACTTTTCTGAAGAAACATTTTCAAAGTTCCTAGTGTTAATACCTTGGTGTCCTAATAAACTTTTGGTGTGGGGTTTTCACGTTTCTTCCCATTACTGGGGACAGGGGTTTTCCTCCAGGAGCTCCAGTTTCCCCCAAAACATGCACCATAGGGATCATCCTCCAGCTCCAGGTAGACTTGACTAAGCCGAGCATCAATGGTTGGCATAGCAGAATAGGTTTGTAAGGGGGACAATAATCAAGCAGTCCTAGAAAAAAGATGGACTGCAGCCTAAAATCAGCCATGTTGTCATACTGTGAATCATCAATGTTCATCGATATTGTCTGTTCTTTATCTAAATAAAATCCAAACAAGTGTAAAAGAAGTATGTCAAATTCATATGGGGAGTGAAGCAGCAATGAACACAGCAGCCGCAATATCTTGCCTCTGAGCTCACCATGTTGGGTAAATCTAAATTTCAAGAAGCATAACCTTAAACATTTTATAGTGCCCACAAGAGCCTTACATAAACAGTAGCAATACAAAGGAACCCCCTATGTCTTTAGTGCTACAGTGGCACTCATGAAAAATTCTGTTTGTTCCACCACATGTAGTTTAGATTGATGTGGAGATCAAACGCACCTGTATAGGAGCGCTCGCAACAGTGCATAGTCTATTGTATGAGATTACAGAGTGCTTTCCATGGTGATAAAGCTTAAATGTAACAATTAAAAGTGGCACTGCTGGGGCAGATAAAAAGTCTCTCACACCGTGTTTGCAATGCTTTAACACATGCTTTGCCTGTGACTCTTTTTTGGTAGAACCATCAGTTTACTCCATTCCCGGCATTAGCAAAGCATTTTAATTTAGATCACAATTAGTAGCTCTTCATTCCATTAAGGGCAAAATTGAAAAGGAAATAAACAAGAGCCTCCAAATAAAAGAATATCGGATGTCCCCATTCCCCACTCGCCTCATCAGTTTCCTTCACAACTTACTTTCCCAGTAGTTAAAAAAGCAACTCTTAAAGTAATTCCCTTCACAAAAACATGTTTAAGTGGTGTTTTGAGGCCAAAGTCTAGTTATTCTCCACTTGAGAAGAATCTTGTTGAAAAAGCGAAGGTACAGTGCTTTAGCTGGCCTTTCACACCAACTCCACTGGGACCAAACTTGACAGCCGCACGGAGAGAAAAAAAAGCAATGAAGTTTGTTAGAAGCGGAGAAAGAAAGAGAGCAGAGAAATGCACAATATAAAAAGGACAAAAAGCTTAGAGGACGTCAACATCTCAGTATCGCTTATTATCTTTGCTCGTGTGCTTACAATGGGAAAGGGATGTTCAGAAGAGCTCAATGAAGCAGGTGTTTTTGATGAAAACGGTGGAGATGAAAACTATGGGTGCGTTTCAAATGCGCCAATTGCAAACCCACCGGGTGGAAGAGGGATTGTGGGGCAGGGGAAAAGAGGAAGCAAAAGAGCAAAAGAAAAGCAAAGACAAAACAAAGCCATAGACAGCCGAGTCAGAGCAACAATGGGCCGTGCAATGCCAATACTAATTTTCCTTGGAATCAAACTGAGCTTTACGAAATTCTGGGTAAGTGCTGGAAAACTGTGGGCAGGTTTCCATCCATTGTGCCTGACAAACAAGTCGACTTTGATTTATAGTGCGAACATTTGTGCAGTAGAGTAGCTGGCTTTAAAAAGAAAGGCCTAGTATAACAATGCCTCTATAATTTCTGAAATATAAATGTATTTAATTAGCAACATTTGGAAATCGGTATACACAGATTTCCACCTATAAAGGTGTGTGTCAAAAGCACACACTTTTGTAGATGATACTGTGTGATAATGAAACAAATAAACTTGGAAAAAGAATTGCAAAAGAAAAAGAAAAATGTTTTGGACCAACTCAGAGCACAAGGACTGGCCTCCTGTTGATGACACGAGCCAGGACTAAACATGGGGAGTCAATTTCAGATGTATTCATGAAAATGTGTGAAAACAAATTATGTAACTTAGGGGTAAAACTGGTTTGTTCAACTATGCATACGATACAATTTTTGTATGAAAAATAATGCACTGTAATTTGAATTATTTGTTTTGTGAATTTAATGCCTCTTTTCTTGTTTTGAAAAACACTTTGAGTTGCCCTGTGTATGAATTGTGCTATAAAAAATAATTGTTGCCTAAAAAACGTATGATCGTGGATGTTCTTTTCAACACATCTAGTATTGACATGTAGGACTGAGCAGTGACACATTGCCTTGCCATGAGATAATCGAGTCTGATGGAAGTAATAAATGGCTAGAGTAAATTACACACTAATAAGAGTGTGTTTTTCGTTGTCTTTTTAATGTCTCACCTGAAGCTGTTGGGCCTCATGGTTTTCCAGCCCTTCAACAATGGGGGCAAATCTCTCTTTATTGTTCCTCTCTGCAGCAATCGTCATGGCAGCTAGAATCTTATCCAAGCTGGAAGAAAACACACAGTGGACAAACAGAACTGTCAACAAACCATTTTATCACCAGCCAAGAGGACATTAACGCCTAACTTTTAGCCCAAATAACATGCATCTTCTCTGCCATTGTTCCGCTGTGAACGCTTAGTCTGCCAGCGCATGCCTGCACTGACAAACACTCTCCCCATCTCTTTTGTATGCAGTCACCACTATTATTGCCCCAGCATCAAATTGACTTAATAGAGCTTGTTAGAAAGGTAATGCTAGACAAAACTTTGTATTTTATTTTTTTTTCATTGCAAATGGATTCTGTGTTGGACAGGGGAAATGGTTAGAATGAAAGAAAGACTTTAAATTATTATATGGGCGAATGGACTATTGTCATAACAAAGCTACTGTGAAGTTAACAAATGAGAGTTGAGTAACAGCTTACGGCAGAGCAAAGAGAAAACATTGCCGCTTTAAAGCAGTAAATGGATCTAAATAGAGCTATAATTGAAGCCAGTTAGCGTCTCTTTGTTAGGTAAATAACAGTGACGTGCGGTGCAGTCTACAGCAGTTGAGAGGGCTCAAAAATCCTATGGTTTTGTCGTAGATATATGCTTTATGTAGGAATCACATACAATATGGCATTAAAAACAAAAACTTGAATCTAAATAATGCATGGACTTTGATAGTATGTTAGGATACATACTCCAACAAGTACCACTAAACATTATGTTGTTATTATAGCATTTATTATTTGTAGCAAACAATCTAGAATTGCAGTAAAGAAATACTAGAAATGTATTATTAATGTGTAGCATAAATTGAGTAAGCTAAAATACCAATTTGTTAGTTTTTGATTTTTTTGAATTTATGTTTAAAAAATTATAAGTTCATTGATTAATTGAAAACAATGATAAACAGATATAGCATGTTAAGAAAAACATTATATTTATAAAAACTGGTTGTGCAGCTTGCCATGCAGAGAGCAGAATAGGGTGTCCAGGTTCTGAGACAGGGCTATAAAGAGCAGCTTTAAAGCCGGTTCAAATGATGCGTCAAATGAGCCCAGATAGATCTGCTTAAGTTGTCGTGTTGTCTTTTGATCCTGTCAACGGAGGAGGGTAAGAAAAACGATCCAGCAACACAACGTCAAACACCAAAGGCATTTCAGAGCTCCAGCGGTGACAACTAAGATGTTTTAGTGGGGCTCTTTTTATCAAAGGAGATGTATATTTTAATGGAAGGCTGTGATCATGCAAAAGATATCCATGTCTTCTTCAACTCTTGTTTTAGTCTTGTGACTTAAAATGACAGGAGTATTTAAAATAGAAGAAAGCTACAAACTGATAAACAAGATAATGTTTATTCTGCATAAATTAGTGATATTTATATTTATATCAATAATATTTATATTAGTGATATTTACATATTTTAAGGCAATGGGGAAAGGAGGAAACTACTGATATGTTCTGATAATAGCATACCGATGGGTATATTTATCAATGCAGATGCTAAATAAAAATGTGAGTGCATAATTTACCAAATGGAAAACTTGGGTATTATTTAAATTAAAGGAGCTGCTACATAGAATAAAATGAATTGAAAAACTGCTGCAGTGGCATGTGTTCCTAATCCTTCAGTATAGATACAGTGACTGTTGTGACCTAAAGTCTGAAACAAAATGACTGAGCTTATACACGGACCTTTCTACATACAGTATACTTATGTATTGTAGTGTTTTATTGGTCCACCTTTGTGCCCTCAGTCTGTTAGGGTCAGCGTCGGGGTTATATTGTACAACCATTTAAGACCACATAAAGTAAGCAACGCTGCATGGGATTATTATAATTTTCACAAGTTGATTACATATTATCTTTTCTGAAAAGGTCACATTCAATTGTTGTCAGCATATATTGAATAATTTCACAGCATAATTTGCACTGCACAATATTCAGAAACTAGACAATTATTTTAGGAAGCATGTTCTGTCACAGCAAGGGGCACAACAACAAGCATAAAGACCTATTTTGATGGTCAAAGATGTTGGGCGCATTTATGATCTCTGTTTTGTTTATTCCCAACATTGCATACAGACTTTATTTGAAGTGCCATTGTTATTCTACACTGGCCTTGTGGGAAACAATAAAAACACTCCCCTAAATCCAATTTATAAGCTGTCAGGCCATCGGTGTGTCAGTGCAATTACAAAGAGCTCGTCCGGTATATTAAAGGTGCTAAAGTGCATTGTGTGACCCCTCAGATAACCATAGTCCCTGGAGGTACCTGTACTCCGCATTTTCACAGTTGGGACATACTGTATACTTGCATGCGGCGTGAGCTCCCTGAGAATACATGCTGCTCTCAAGTGTTTACACAAAGCAGCGGTCTCCTGTTCCCCACGCCGCCACATTACACCACATAAACCACAGCGCAGACACATCGCAGTTTACATCATTACTTCGCCCTTTCGGGGCTAAATTGGAGTCTGGATATCGTGTGCGGCACCAGTATCAGTGGTTGTTTACTGAACTTTTTTAGCAGCAAATAATCTCACTTTCATCTGCAAAAGAAAACTGACACAGACCAATGGTGTCACTGTAGTTGGCAAACTTTTTGCAGATTAATTTGCATGTGAACCATATGAAAATATATTAGAAAGAAAGCATAGGTTGCATTCATGTGACATCACAAAGTTCCAAAGAGGCTTAGTTTAGGAATTGGAAAGCAATTGAAAGTATCAAAAGTCGAGCGATTTTCTCTGTAATTCCTGAGCCGACAAGACACTAAAATGGTCTGCTTTGTTAATGCGTGCTGTACACACTAACATATAAATAAAATCTGCATGACAAATGTATATCATATAGTTAGTTTCACTGGCAATTGCAATTAGCAAAGCCTCAACTCAGACCTGAGCAATAGAGGATCACTTAAATATTAATGCTTTGAACGCATGCTACACTCTAGAACTCTGAAAACTGAATACAATGTAGTGTAAATCTTTCCCTCAGCATTGATCTAAAACTTCTAACAGAGCTACACTGACTCAAGTTTTAGAAGATCATCCAGCTCTAAAGACAGATTTAAACCAACATACATATTTTCCTCTCCAATGATACAGAACGCTGAGAGGATTTTGACAATCTCGGTCATCATGTGAGTCTGTTTTGGGTCAATGGCTCGGGCCAGCAGCAGCAGACTGCGCTCATCTCCAAGGATCCTTTGGAGCCCATACTGCAATGAGAAAAAATACAGATGTAAAAAACTTAAAGTGTAGGTAGAATATAGTTCGCCTTAATTTGCTTTTTCGAAAGGGACAATATGACAAGGGAAGAAGAGAGTATGATTAAACATTTCAATTGAGGACAGGACTGCTGGGATGAATACTTATGTGTGCCCATATATTACTTTCTGTGAAGGGGAAATGCAGAAATGACCACAAGTACGGATTATCTCAGGGCACCAACATCAAGCGCTCATCTGTCTTTGAAATGTGTGCTACTTTTGAAAAATGAGCCAGACCTACCTCCCCAAAAAAAAGATAATTAAAAGATCTGAGGCAGTGGGCATGAAATGGTAAAATTAGCTTCCATTTAATGTTCCATTATAGTAGTGCTGTCTGTACCTATTTTAAACAAGCTCTGGTCAGTCGAGGTGGAACAGAGCATGAAAATAAGTGATTTTTTAAAAATGTGTCTTTTTGTTATCATTTGAAGGTAACTTCTTTAGAAATCATCCACTTGATTCAGACGTTTTTTTTTTTTATTATTTGCATAGATTGTGGCAATGCATAACGAGGATGAGTTATTTTACAAAAGTGCAATTTAACTGAAAAAACATTGAAACTATCAAAGAGAAACCTTGAACTAGGCAGAATATTTTGCTTGTATAAACTTGTGATCTGTTTGCCGGCTATAATACATTTTATTCATCATTTTCTAAAGAATAACAATGGGATTGGATTGCATAATGTATTTATTTTATGTTTTCACAAATGATAAAATATAGAAAACATGTTTTTCTTATTGCAATTAAACACTAAAGTTGACTGAGAGGTTTATTTCAGTGTCTGAAGGTTTTTTGTTTTAATTTATGGCATGCTTTTCTTGTGCTCTGCTGCCCTAAAGGAATTTTAATAATGTATGAAGTTGTACACATTTGCCCGATACAAACCTTATTGTTCATAAAAGCCTTCAAGCACTGGATCAGTTTGTGCTGGTTCCGTTTATCAATTGGTTCTTGTCTGGAAAATAAATAATACATTTCCATATACAAATTACAAGGCCACATCATCAACAGACAGAGTGTCTCATATCAATAAACGTACTGTTTCTTGTCCAAAAGTTTCTCCAAGGCATCCAGAAGAAGACCAAGCCCCTCGTGACCAAAGTTGTTCACCCAGCTGGAAAACAGAAACAAAGTAATTTAGTCTCAAGGCACAATACATTTGAGCCTGAGAATAAACAATATGCTAACTACTTAATGATTTTGTGGAATTTTCTTTTCAAACTAACGCTCCGGGTTCAACACACACAAGGATAAATGGACTGTTTGCGCTTTTTAGGGCTTCAAATCACAAAACACTTCTGCCCTGCACATTGCAGAGCACATTGAGCCTACTTAAATATAAACTGTACCCATTTACAAGCAAATGAACATTCATCCATCTTAACCAGCTCCGCCGCACACTGTGCACCCCCCTCTCTCGTCTCCCTTCCCCATCACGCTCACTGCAATGTTCTCAGTGCCAAAAGATTAAGCAATGCAAGAAAGATAACACTGTAATTGATAAAGGATCGGCAGAGATAATTGGCCTTTAAACCACAGCATATTGGGAGACAGCTAATGATTCAGAGCGGATGGGCCTGTTTGTCTGAGCCAGGGTTAGAATGTGTGAGTGTGGGGGTCACAACCACATTATGTCATTAGCATTACTTTTTCAAGCCCTTGACACTCAATAATACAAAATGCATTGGCCAATTTGCAAACATTAGACCGTCATGTGCTAATAACTTCTTGACAGTCGTCTCAAACAGCAATGTGCGCTTTATTAAAGACATTTGTTTTGACTTCATCATGTAAAAGAGACCTTCCATTAGAGGTGCATTTAGCCGGGAGCAAAGCAAGATGCGATTTATGTCTTTTCATATGACGTAATTGGTCCACTCCTTAGTAACTGTCTCTCAAATTGCATTAAGTGAGACTGTGAAGTGATGTATGCGCCATCAAATAAATCAGATGTCTTAACAAAACAATATTCATATTCATAAATGCGTGTCAGGGTGATGGTGTCTATAAGAAGTTCATTTTTCCCGTCTTAGCCCATCACGCACTTGTGATGCAGAGGAGAATAAAGTGTCATGGCTGAGAGAGCATCATTCTGTGAAACCAAAGTCACACATTGTTTATGCATTTAAATATTGACAACAAGTCTTTAGAGAGTAGGAAGCACTAATATTTGTGAGATGGAATGCTGCTTATCAAGCAGACAAACGGAAAAAGAGAAAGTTCTACGACCTTAACAAATCAGGAGAATAGCAAACAATTTTAAATGATATTTCGACAATGTAAATATTAAGGACAACAATACTAACAAACAATAATTTCTTTGCAAACCAAAATGGCTGTATTTTTGTTTTGTCAGTTTTAGAATCCATAGCGGATAAGCTCAAGTCAAATCATCTTACAACAAATATACAGGTGTAGGGGCTGAAATCCTCTTCGATTAGTCTTTTCTCAAAATGTGGGCATAAATCCAAGGATTTCATTAAGTTGCAGGAGAACTTGTTCATCTAATATTGATGGCTATAATCCTCTGGTTAAGTGCCACCAAATTGTGTTACTTTCTGCAATCATGTATATTCCTCAGGCAAAAATGAAAAATTCATGGCTTCTGAGTAAGGTCATTTCATGTTTTATATTTTGGGTTATTACTGCCTTCTAATACAAATATCCTGTTGTCAAGCTGTAAGTGCATGCATGCTAAGTTTCTGTCAGCGCCTATATTATATGATAACTGTAATGGTATAAAAAGTGCTATTATCCGTTGCTATCTAATTTTACCGAACATTTTGATAGAATAATAATTGTCATAGTCAAACATACGTCTTCTCAGCTCTCAGTCGTAAGGCCCAGTTAATAATAAAAATGTATAACCAAAAGTAATTTGAGAGAAACCAGGGTAAAATTCATGATATTCGTGTTCTGTTCAGACTATTACACAGAAGTATGTATGTTACAAAAAACAAATAAAATGTATACATTGTATTGAGGTGGAGGATAATGATATCCATAAATGCACAAGTAAATTAGCCTCACATATTGTATTTCACAGACTAAAAACTGTCAACGGTGGCTCCATTTTATGACAAAGCTGTGGACAGCAGGCACTTGTAACACAGCACCCCTCCATTGGCCTAATGATTTACCACAAACACCACGGTACTTTATACTTTGACCAATTTAATAGTCTATTTAGTATTCAATGGTAGAAAATAGAACAGCACTTTTCTTGATGGCATGTCTTCAATATACCAATTCAAAGTGGTGTTTTATTTTTGTGCTTTAGAGTATTGGTCATGGACACTGTGACTAAATGATTAGTAGAATTTGAGAGCAAATACATAGCTATAAAACGTTTGCTCACTTATTGATTACATCTGCCCATTCCAAAAGGAAAGTGTATTTGCCATCAGAGATATTTGGTAACTGAACCAAATAGTCATATGATTGGAAAAGGAACCCATCCTACAAATACCACTGGACAGCATGGCGGCAGCAATGGTTGTCACATTGCTCGCTCCGCCCAAGCCATGTTCCAATATTATATATATATATGGTTAATGCCCAAATCTTGAAGTAACAAATAGACTGATGATAAAACTTCTATTTTCTGATGTTTTATTTTTTGCACTGACATTGAGCAATGAGCAGGCATTCCTAGAGGTGAACAGATGGTGTCATAAACTGTAATAAAGACAAGTCTTAAAAAGTATCAGACACAAAGGACATTGATGTGTATAAAAAAATGTATCTGAGGTCATAAACCAATTTGTCTCTCGGCATCCGTATAAAACAGTGAATTAAATGTTTGTTAGAGGTGATTGAGATTACAAATGAGTTGTGACGCACAAAGGCAAGCTGTGAAATTTCAATTGGGAACATAAACTTTTAATCTTCAGGTGTGTACTTGACAATGTCATTTTGCCATCTCTTTGGTTTACCCTTGATGAGTGACAGTGTTAGTGATCTGGATGTCATCTTAAGCCTGGTTCACACGAGACAATTTTAAAATTGTCGGCCGATTTTTCTCCGTGTTAGACCCCACACGGGGAGATTAAAAATCCTGCGTCTAACCACTTTGGTCGTGCAGTGTGTGGTGCGTAGCCACACGGCAAGATCACGCAAGCCACAAACATCACACACGAACCGACACCCCCCCCCCGAGCATTCCCAGGTCAGACGGAAATCTCACAAAATCTCTCGAGATCAAGCGTGACTTCAGAGTAAACAGTCATGGCAGACGAAGAGGATGCAGTGGCGATAGTGTGCAGTTTGTTGTTAACAGAGAAGACACGTAATCCAAAGAAAAGGCAATGGTCAAAGCCATGCTGCTGTGTTTTGGTTTTTTTTCCGGTGTTTCCTCACCGGCTTGTCACCTCGTCTTCTTATTGGCTACACGCCGTAGTCATGGCAACGCGCTCGCTTGTCCTCGGGGGACACCACACACGACAAGAAATCGGGCCAAAACAATCCAACATGTTGGATATCCCCGATTTGAGATCGGGAGCAGTCCCGATGTCCTTCCGAGCGACGAGTGCAGTCTTAACACACCACACACGGCAGGATAATCTGTAAGATTTTGTTACGGAAATCGGAGCGTTTCTTAAGATTGTCATAAGGGGTAAATCGGGTCTAAATCGGCCTAAATATCCTGCCGTGTGAACCAGGCTTTAGATTCTACCGGTTCAGATAAACGTTTGTCGTGCACAGAAATTGCCTCTAGTTTTACTGTATTCACATCCTCAACAAATTTCAAGGTCTTGTCAGGTGAAAAAAAGGACATCTTGCCTTCTCCTGCTTCCTCCTATCTGTACCTGCAGGATGTCAAATCTGACACGCCATGGTAGTGAATCAAATGGCCATTTTTCCATTACCGCTTCAAGTAATGGAGTGAAATGAAATAGTGATTCAGACAGTTGGGAGGCTGCAAAAAAATCCAATAATTTGTTGCCCTGTGAGGAATAGAGGTGCTAATAGGCAGGCTTACGTAAACTGTATGGGCAAAAAAAATTTGACATGACTCTATTGAAATTCACATTCAGTGTATTAGAGGTAGAAGAGACGCAAAGCTGGAACACTGTGTTTAGAAAATAGGCACAAATATAAGCACAGATGGATATGTTCCTCAGAGTATCTGTTTAATTGACAGAGCTGACAGAAAAGATAAGGACTTCATCACATGCCAGGAAGGTCTGTAATAAAGAGCACTTTTCTACATATTTTAATTAATGCCGTAAAGTGTATGCATATGGACAGAGTGACACCTTTTTGTAGAAGAACACGTAGATACAAAATGCAATTTGGCACCAAAATCTGCACTGGAAATGCTCTCGAATGTTGTTTGCAAGCCTGTCAAAGGAACATTTTCTTCAAGTCAATCACATAGCATTTTATCAGGACGTGAATGCTGTGTGCCATCTGTGGATGTTCATTGAGGACATATTTGTGTTGGAGTATTTGTGAATAATATTTGTGATTGTTGGAATTCCAAATATATATGCATGTTTTAAATACTGCAACATTTTGAACCACCTGGCCATACCATATACGAGGCCTGATTCATAGAAGAATCATTTCATTTCATTTTCAACCCTTTATTATTTTCCAATTCTGGGTCAAGGCGAGGCAATCAGACCTGCCACACCTAAGTCACAATATACAAGTCCTTTGTTGATCTTCCTACAGGTAGTGGGTCCACAGGAATGAAGCTACGGCCACTGTGTTTCAATAGGTGCTTCAGGCAAAGTGGGATTGAGTGTGTTGCCCAGGGACACAGCGACAGCAATCATCAGTGGGAGCAGATGACATATGTAACCCACGTCTCTGGCCCCATTGAATAACCCCAGCAACCCATTCACTGGCCCGCCACCAGTGGCACTATAGTTAAAATGGCCGCGCCCCAGAACACCAGTAGCCCACTTCCTGTTAACAGAACTGCGGCTGAGCTCTACAAGAACTCCAACAGAACTGCTTGAAAACTGAACAGAAAATTATCAAACTCAACGGTTTTTTTTCCCTACCCGTGAACCCTGAACATTCCTCGTGACGAGGTGGCGAGCTGAGCCCAAAACGAACCTACAGTAGGTCCCATTTTGTTTTGTCGCCTTTCACGCGTGAATA